CAGGCTAAACTTTTACCATAAACCCATCCAGGAAAGCCATTACTGATGAGCCACTAAATGCCACAGCTTGGAATGGGGGCCCCAAAACACTGAATACTGCTCCATTGTAGAAACTCAAGTTGCCCCTAGAAACGGATGTTTCTGCCACCACTGCCACCACTAGGCACCATAACCAATTCCTGATTCTTCGTGTCTCTTGCTCTCAATTGGAGTTGGAGGAAGAAGAGTGCAGATGTATTTTCACCCTTGTCTTTCTTACCCTTTGATCTTCTCAGTGATGAGGAGGTATAGAGATCTATCATTAAGAGGCCACCTTTAGAACAAGCCTAGGGCAGTTTAAGTATGCAGCAGTGTAGTTGGAAGGAGGTCTTGTGCTGAAGTTGTGTTTAAGAGTTAACACACTGCTTTTCCTTAAATTGTATATTTATTTAGGGTGACTACATTAGTATGTTTTCATGCTGCTGATAAAGACATACCCGATACTGGGAAGAAAAAGAGGTTTAATTGGACTTACAGTTCCACATAACTGGGGAGGCCTCAGAATTATGGTGGGAGGCAAAAGGCACTTCTTACATGGTGGCAGCAAGAGAAAATGAGGAGGAAGCAAAATCAGAAACCCCTGATAAACCCATCAGATCTTGTGAGACTTATTCACTATTACGAGACTAGCAGGGGAAAGACTGGCCCCCATGATTCAATTACCTCCCACTGGACCCCTCCCCCAACACATGGGAATTCTGGGAGATTTAAATTTAAATTGAGATTTGGGTGGGGGCACAGCCAAACCATATCAGTGGCTTTGGACAAACTAATGGAAATTCTATAGGGGCTGATGACTGTAGCACCTTTCCACACCAAGCATAATTCAAATATACTAAGGTTCAGATCCTAGCGGAACCACTTGATTTGATTATGTGAGCTTAGGAAAATTACTTAGATTTTTCTGAGCTTCAGTTTCTTTTTCTTTTCTTTTTTCTTTTTCTTTTTCTTTTTTCTTTTCTTTTCTTTTGAGATAGAGTCTTGCTGTATCACCCAGACTGGAGTGCAGTGGGGCGATCTTGGCTCACTGAAACCTCCGCCTGCCGGGCTCAAGTGATTCTCCCTTCTTAGCCTCCCGAGTAGCTGGGATTACAGGCACCTGCCACCATGCCCAGCTAATTTCTGTATTTTTAGTAGAGACGAGGTTTCACCATGTTGACCAGGCTGGTCTCGAATTCCTAACCTCAAGTGATCCACCTGCCTCAGCCTCCCAAAGTGCTGGGATTACAGGCATGAACCCATGCCTGGCTTCAGTTTCTTTGTCTAGAAAATGGTGACACACTTTCACAGGGTCATTGTGAGAGTAAAAGGGACAATGAACATAAGGCAAATAGGAAAGCATTTGGGACATAATAAGTATTAATAATTAGTGGCTAATGTTCATATCCTCTGTCAGTCTACTTCTTGGCTACCAGGTCCTTTTCCCTGGAATCAGTCCCAGTCTCTCTTTTTTACCCTAACTTTTGAACCACCTACAGCTCCCAGTCATCTTTCATACGTCAGCTCCCAACCAGTGCAGTGTTTTTTACGTTGAGTATCTGATCCACCCCAAAGCAGCACTGCATCACATTGAACTTGGCCATGCTTTTGGCCAAAAGCTAGAGATGCTGTTGGCTGACAGGCTTAGAAATACCTCTCCAGCCCTACCATAATCAGCCATGGCAAGTTGACATGAGGCAGGCCAGAACAGCCAGGTGTTACAGGCTCTTAAGTTAGGCTGCCTAGAGTCAAACCCACTCATCTCCACCACTTATAGTTAGTGACTTTGGTGAAGTTATGTAACCTCTGTGTCTCAGTTTCATCTTCTGTAAAATGGGGCTATGAATAGTATTATTTTGTAGAGTTATGAGGATTCAATAAATTGATATATGTAAAGCATTCAGAACAATGGTAGGCAAGTAAGCTCTCTAGTCTTTGCTATTATTATTATCATTATTCAGTCTGGTACTCAAACCCAAGCACTGGAGAATGAGGGTACAAGGCAGGAAACCCGTAACTGGGAACTAAGATGCTAAAATCAAACTGCACACAGCAGAAAGACGGACTGGCTCAGGTTCAACAGTGAGCTGCCAATGTCAGTCCCTCAAAGTTCAGAAGTGGGGCCAGTCTCCAAGCCTCAAGTGTGGCTGTTACAAAGGGCTCACCTGTGCCAGTGAGAAGGCAGCAGGGGGCTGGGGGCAACCATGTTATTGAGGAAAAGAGAGCATGGGCTTTACCAATGGATAAATGGGCAATGGATAACAAGGGTTTACTGGCAAAAGAGTAAAAGGATCAGAGCGATGCTTTATAACAGTGGTCTCCAAAGCGGGGTGTGTGCTAATTCCTGGAATTCATTAGGGGCTGGCTGCCCTGGGCTGCAGAAAACAAATTAGAATTTATATTTATTTATCTTTAAAATAATTAAACGTTACTGATACCCAGTGTATCAAGTGATGCTGGAAGCCACATTTGTCTGAACATGAATCAAGTGTTATAAATGGTAAGGGAGATCTCCCAAGAGGAATTTGTGTGCTGCAGGGTGTCATTAGGCTATTTTTATTTAAAAAACAAAAAACAAAAAAACAAGACCTTCAAACTTTAGATAGTAGAATCTTGGGTGGCAGGTTAGCTCAGTTGGTTAGAGCCCGATGTTAATAAATCACACAGAATCTTTATAATACTGTAAAGTGAGTTGAAGAGTGACCATCAGAATCAATTGTATCAAACAGGATTATGGGCCATTGTGGGGTAAAGGACTTAAAAGAATTGTCAATTTAAAAAGATGAACTGTGAACTGCACAATATTTCTCTTACAAAAAGACTAGTGTTCAAAAATTGCTGACCTTTTCCGTTATGACAAATGAATTTCAAAACTGTGCTACCAGGAGATATTACAATAATCAATCAACTAATTAATAATAATAATACAATTAAAATAATAAAGACATTTAATTAGGATCTTTAAGGAAAAAATGGTGTTTAACAGTGAATGAAAAGTCACTGTTTTGGGGGGCCAAGGCAGGAGGATCGCCTGAGTCCAGGAGTTTGAGACCAGCCCAGGCAACATAGTAAGAACTCATCTCTACAAAAAAATTAAAAATTAGCTGGGCCTGGTGTTATGCGCCTGTAGTCCCAGTTACTTAGGAAGCTGAGGCAGGAGGATCACTTGAGCCCAGGAGTTTGAGGTTACAGTGTGAGTGCAGCAGCCGAGCTACGATCACACACAGCTCCAGCTATGATCGGGCTACTGCACTCCAGCCTGGGTGACAGAGAGAGTTTGTCTCAAGAAGTAAAGAAAAGAATAGAAAAGTAACGGCTCTTGCAAAGGAACTCTTTTTTGTTAAGAAACCACTTTGAAAATGGATGCCTGGAAGTCAAATTGTATCTGTTTGCAGATGACATGATTGTATATTTAGAAAACCCCATCGTCTCAGCCCAAAATCTCCTTAAGCTGATAAGCAACTTCAGCAAGTCACAGGCGTTCCTATACACCAATAACAGACAGAGAGCCAAATCATGAGTGAGCTCCCATTCACAATCACTACAATGTTTTTTTACTCCTGAAAATGATATAACTTTATCATTACTTATGAAACATTTATATCTGCATGCTTTACAAAAACTTGGAAACGGTCTTTTAATCTATTAATATTCCAGACATAGGTTTACAATACTTTTCAATTAGCTTGCAGAAATAACTCTTGGACATCAGTTGATTTATTGGCTGAATTTCAAAAAAACTTTGCATAGTTGCTGGATAGAAATGAATATTAGGATTTAGCAATGTGTTTGTGGTGCATTTGGCATTGTGTAAATTTGCGAATATATTTCTCAGCTATGGTGGCAATTAAAACCTATTTTCAAAATAAACTAAAGTTAGAAACATGCTTGTGAATCATTTCATCACAAATTGTTAAGCCAATTTTTTTTTAAAAACAGTGGAATTTACTCAATTATAGGGAGAACAAAAATGTTTTTGTACCTCCAATATATAAGATGAAAATTTAAATTAAAAATATTCATTTCTTCTTCATCTCCTTTTAATTTCTATACTTGTGTACATTTTATACATATATGTTATAGGTGGACATCATTTAGAAATAATATATAATATACATGTATATTAATATATGCAATATATAAATATATAATACACATGTATATATGCAATATATACATAGTCATAGGTGGACATCGTTTAGAAATAAATAAATTGGGCTGGGCATGGTAGCTCATGCCTGTAATCCCAGCACTTTGGGAGGCCAAGGTGGGCAGATTGCTTGAGCCCAGGAGTTTGAGACCAACCTGGGCAACATGTTGAGACCCCTCCCTAAAATAAAAATACAAAAATTAGCTGAGTGTGGTGGCACATGCCTATAGTCTCAGCTACACAGGAGGCTAAGGCCCGAGGATAACCTGAACCTGGGGATGTCAAGGGTGCAATGAGCCATGATCGTGGTAGTACACTCCAGCCTGGGGGACAGCGTTAGACTCGATCTCAAAAATACAATACAATAAATTAAAATGAATATACTAGAGATTCATGCTCAAGCATTTGTATTGATAGGGAGTGTTTTCAAAAGGGTTTGGAGACCACTGCTGTAGGAAGACAGGTCTGAGCCTATGTATGAGATAAAAGAAGAGAAAGAACAAAAAGATGAGAGGATAGAAGACTAGTCAGTTACTTCTGCAATACAATATTTCAGGCCGGTGTTAATAAGAGGCTGAATTAAGGTGGTGACATTTTGAATGGAAAGGAACAGACTCAATGGAATGAGATAATGAGAAGACAGAAGTAATAAATGTTGACAACCAATGACGCATAGAAAGCAGGGGAGAGGGAAGTGTCAGTAACTGAATTGAGAGAAATACAAAGTTATTGAGGAATAAAACAATGAATTTTGTTTTAAACATGTTGAACTTTAGTGCCTTTGGGAATGTTAAGTGAAAGGACCTATGGACCAGTTGAAAAAAAGAAATTGGTGCTGGCTTCAGCAGCACATACACTAAAATTGGAATGATACAGAAATTATCACGGCCCCTGTACAGGGATGACATGCAAATTCGTGAAGCCTTTTGTGTGTGTGTGTTTTTTTTTAAAGATGACAATGGCTAAAACTTCCTTTTTAGAGTTCATATGTTTTGCAATCTAACGTCCATTACCGTAAAGATAACATGCCTTCATGGAAACCAACAGCTTTGACTTCTTAAAATATGAATACCTTTTGGAGGCATCCACAACTTGCTTTTCCCCTCAGGACTTCCAACTGTAGCAGAAGACAAATAAGAGAGAGAATACAGTGGATTAATATGTGGCCATTGCTTTGGGAAACTCAGGTTCCAAACCCACTCTACCATTTTGTAGCAATGAAACTCTGGAGATTTTTTTAACACTTCTAAGGTTTAGTCCCCTTATTGTTAAATGATGGCATCATAACACTTATTTTATATAGTTATTGTGAGAATTAAATGAGCAAATATATGAAAAGTGCTTATGTCCTTGCCTTGTATAGTTAAGCATTAAATAAAAAATAGTTCTAATTATTGTCTATTCACTATAACTCTTGGAAAATAAATTGACCACTATATTGTCTGTGATCTTAGCCTACTGTATCCTATTCTACATATTCACATGTGTGCGCTCACACATACACCAAAAAATAAAGATCATTCACAAAGTTTTTAGTATCTGAGACCTAGACTGAGAAAGAATATTAAAATTCTCATATTTGGATCAAAACTGTAATAATATTATCCTTACATCTACATAGAATTTTTCAGTCACAGATATTATATACATTCATAAAGCACAACAGAAATCCACCATATTTATACTTGGTGTCTTTTAGGCAGAGAGCAGAGCAAAGTGGAGAATAATATTCATAGAAAAAAGTATACTTTCCTGAAATGAAGAACAGAAGCTACAGATTTAAAAGATACACTGTGTTGTAGTAAAAACCAGCACAGAGGAATAGAAATGTGACACAGCTACATGAAGTGACTAAACTCATGAACTAAGTGAATAATCTTATGGGTATCTAGGTAGAAAACACAAGCCACTTATAATAGGATGATGTAAACCTGAGCTCAAACTCATTGACAATAATAGTCCATGCCAAAAGATGATAGAACAATGTTTACAGAGTTCTAAGGAGAAACGAGTGTGACCCAAGAATTTTATACCCAGCTAAATTTCCACTTGTGTATAAGGTCATCAAAAAATAGTCTCAAATGACAAAGGCTTACTTCAGGTAAAACATATATAAACACTGGTTGAAAAAGCTACCTGATGATAAAGTCTAGCCAATTAAGACATTTCTAGGCTGGGTGCGGTGGCTCAAGCCTGTAATCCTAGCACTTTGGGGGGCCAAGGTGGGCAGATCACCTAAGGTCAGGAGTTCGTGACCAGCCTGGCCAACGTAGGTGAAACCCCGTCTCTATTAAAATACAAAAATTAACTGGGCGCAGTGGCACGTGCCTGTAATCCCAACTACTCAGGAGGTTGAGGCAGGAGAATTGCTTGAGCCCAGGAGGTGGAGGTTGCAGTGAGCTGAGATTGTACCACTATACTCCAGCCTGGGCAACAGAGAAAGACTCTGTCTCAAAAGAATAAAAGAAAAAAAAAAGACATTTCCGAATGAAAAACTAGAAAATGGGTAAGATTTAATAAGGCTAATCATGAAGTCTGAATCTATATAAATCTAGAAATAAGGCAAAACAATTATAGATATTACAAAACAGGACCTACATATGTGAATAAGGAAGCAGAACTGCCAAACAAAGTGAGGTGGACATCCGGGTGGTGGTGTGACCCAGTACAGGATGTCAGAGCCTAAGAGGGCATCATCCACTCCAGGGTGCAGCCCAGCATGGGGTGTCAGAATCTAAGCAGGGTACCTATGTTGGAGGGCTGCTTGAGTGCAAGGAGTGGGAGCCTGCGCAGGGTGAGACAGGTGTCCACGTATGGTAGTAGTGGTGGCTCCACGCAGAGTGTCAGAGTCTGAGCCAAATGAGGAAGGTATCCGTGCATGAGGGTGACCTGTTGATGGTATCAGAGCTCAAGCAAAATGAGAGGGGCATCCATATGGGAGCATAGGCTGGCACAGTGTGAAACCTTGAGCAGTATGTAGAGGGACTACCCATGCAGAGTGAAAAGGTTTTTTGTACTTATTTGCCATTTTTTCTGAAAGTATGTGATTTTTAAAAAAATGTGCCCTAACATAGGTTTCCCCCGATATTACAGATAATTACCTGTGGGGAAATGACATAGAAAATATATTTAAAGCATTATTTGATGTATATGTATACAGATACTAGGAGTATCACATTAATCACATGACACTGATTCCTTTCAACTGTCTTGCTTTTCTAATACATAAATAATTTTGGATGTATCATTCAGAAACTTTTTCATGCTGATTTATTAAAGCATTTTAATGCTACTTAAAGAATATGAAGTGTGGCCGGGCGCAGTGGCTCACGCCTGTAATCCCAGCACTTTGGGAGGCCGAGGCATGTGGATCACAAGATCAAGAGATCAAGACCATCCTGGCCAACATGGTGAAACCCCGTCTATGCTAAAAATACAAAAATTAGCTGCATGTGGTGGTGCACGCCTGTAGCCCAGCTACTTGGGAGGCTGAGGCAGGAGAATCGCTTGAACCCAGGAGGTGGAGGCTGCAGTGAGCTGAGATCGTGCCACTGCACTCCAGCCTGGAGACAGAAAGAGACTCCGTCTAAAAAAAAAAAGAATATGAAGTGTGACACTGGGTGCGGTGGTTCACACCTGTAACCCCAGCACTTTGAGAGGTGAAGGTAAGAGGATCACTTGAGCCAAGGAGTTTCAGGCTGCAGTGAGCTATAATCACAGCACTACACTCCAGCCTGGATGACAGAGCAATACCTTGTCTCTTTCTCTTAATTAAAAAAAAAAAAAAAAAGCCGGGCGCGGTGGCTCAAGCCTGTAATCCCAGCACTTTGGGAGGCCGAGACGGGCGGATCACGAGGTCAGGAGATCGAGACCATCCTGGCTAACACAGTGAAACCCCGTCTCTACTAAAAAATACAAAAAAATAGCCGGGCGAGGTGGCGGGCGCCTGTAGTCCCAGCTACTCTGGAGGCTGAGGCAGGAGAATGGCGTAAACCCGGGAGGCGGAGCTTGCAGTGAGCTGAGATCCGGCCACTGCACTCCAGCCTGGGCGACAGCAGGAGACTCCGTCTAAAAAAAAAAAAAAAACAGGAAGTGGGTAGACTGCAAGTAAACCCTGAGAACTCCTAGATCACCTCAGTTTGCAACACCCATTCACTTCTTTCCTCACTGCTGCCTAAGAAGGCACATGAAGCTTAGTCACTGTGTAGACTCCCAAAACTTTCTGGAACTTCATGCAAAGGTTAAGCCTTGGAACCAACTCTGAATTTCCTTGTGGTTTCACACTTGTCACATTTTCTTCTCACCTTGTCACCACCTACACAGACTCAGCCTCCTGGATGCGTCACGCTTGGGTGGCTTCATTTCCTGGCCCCTGGTAAGCCACAATTGCAAGAGCTATTGCTGGTGAAACTGGTGACCCATTAAAGGCACACAAATAAGAACATAAGTGCAGGGGAGCCACAAGTGCACTATCTGAATGTGTCAGGCTGAGAACACGATGTTTCCTCAGCTGTCACTCATCCTCTGGTGGAGAGGCCTTTTTGGTCTTCAGTCTTCCAGTAACTGTCTATGAAATATTTCTGCATGCTATTCATCTATACCTGAGTGCAAGCATGCTTTCAGGACAGAAGAAATGTCATATAGGTCAGAATAATGTTTCAATGGGCTCAGGATTTTTATCCCTGGTTGTCCTATCAACCCATTTTGTGCTATCTACTGGTAGTGGTTCCAAATTCTGGTCTCCAAATTGGTGATGATATGGAAATAATTTTTTCATTATTACTAATCTGTCATGAAATTTAAAAAATAAGAATAATGTAGGAGAACATTATTTCATTTGGTAAAATTTCATTTGGTCTAAATTTCATTTAGTAAAAAAGGAACTCTTTTTTTTTTTTTTTTTGACATAGGGTCTCACTCTGTTGCCCAGACTGGAGTGCAATGGCGCAATCATGGCTCACTGCAGCCTCAACTTCCGGGGCTCAGGTGATTCTCCCACCCCAGCCTCCCAGGTGGCTGGGACTGTAGGCATGGGCCACCATGCCTGGCTAATTTTTTTTTTTTTTTTTGTATTTTTTGTAGAAACGGTGTTTTGCCATGTTGCCCAGGCTGGTCTCAAGTTCCTGGGCTCCAGCAATCTGCCCACTTCCCTTGGCCTTGCAAAGTGCTTCTTTTTTTTGTATTTTTAGTAGAGACGGGGTTTCACTATGTTGGTCAGGCTGGTCTTGAACTCCTGACCTCGTGATTTGCCTGTCTCAACCTCCCAAAGTGCTGGGATTACAGGTGTGAGCCACCACGTAAGGCCCAAGAACTCTTCTTTATCCTGAAACTATGTCCTTATATTTTTAGTTTCAAAAATAGCTCTCCTTTTGGGGCCAGGTGCAGTGGCTCATGCCTGTAATCCTAGCACTTTAGGAGGCCGAGGCAGGTGGATCACCTGAGGTCAGGAGTTCAAGACCAGCCTGGCCAACATGGTGAAAACCCATCTCTACTGAAAATATAAAAATTAGCTGGGCATGGTGGCACACACAACTCAGGAGGCTGAGGTACCAGAATCGCTTGAGCCTGGAAGGCAGAGGTTGCAGCTAGCCAAGATCGCACCACTGCACTCCAGCCTGGGCGACAGAGTAAGACTCTGTCTCAAAAAAAAAAAAAAAAAAAAAAAAAAACGAACTGATTTAATTCACCCCAAGATGGAATCCATTCTGTTCCTTTGGTGCTTTCAAAATCTTCCCCACATCGTGTGTGTGTGTGTGTTGAGACAGGGTCTCTCTCTGTTGCCCAGGCTGGAGTGCAGTGGCACAATCACGGCTCATCACAGCCTTGACCCCCTGGGCTCAAGCAATCTTCCTACCTCAGCCTCTAGGGTAGCTGGGACTGGGTGCATTCCACCACACCCTGTTAATTTTTTTTTTTTTTTTGTAGAGACTGGGTTT